CTATCACTCAGCACTGGTGACCTCTTGTCCCCGGGTCAGCGGGCCGCGTGTCGTTGGAGGCGGGTCCTCGTTTGGAGATGATGATGATGTGGTTTTATCTGCTGAGACAAAGGCCGGAGTGTTCAGGATAGGCCCAACAATTAGTCCTCTGCGCGGCTTATCACCCGGGAACATGATCCGCGCTGTATAATGACAGAGGAGGATAATGAGGCCGCGGGGCCCCGTGGCTGGCTGAGGGCCCGGACCTGGTATGAATCCTGCTCCTTCCTCTATGGCTGGACGTACAGATCCTGTCAGCAAATTTCCTTTTTTTGGGTTCCCGGCGGCCGCTCAGCGCCCATAAAAATGGGGGAAATGTCATCAAAAATCTCCAACTTTTTGGGGAAAATGATGAATTCTGACAATTCTCCTTTTTTTTTTTGGACCCTTTTTTAGTATTTTTCCAATTGCAGGAAGAAGACTCCTCCGAGAGTGAAGGATTCTGGGTAGGGGGAAGTAGCTTGTGTCGTACTTTTGGAGTGGAATGGCGGCCGTACACTGAGATGCCTTCACTTCCTGTCCGGGGGAAAAAGGGTGTCCCCCGGGACAGGAAGTGACCACCACTCCCCACTTTATCCTGACAGGAAGTGAAACGTATTCGTCTGGAGTCGGGTGATTCTGCGTATTGTGAACATGAAATCCATAGATGAGGAATGAGCGCTGTGTTAGGAGGGCATGCTGGGATCTGTAGTTGGGCGTCACCACAGCACAAACCATTTGGCTTTAATACGAGGATAGGGATCTTTATTTTTGGTCATGTGACCATATAATACAAGGATAGGGATCTTTATTTTTGGTCATGTGACTATAATACGAGGATAAGGATCTTTATTTTTGGTCATGTGACTATAATACGAGAATAGGGATCTTTATTTTTGGTCGTGACTATAATACGAGAATAGGGATCTTTATTTTTGGTCATGTGACTATATAATACGACGATAGGGATCTTTATTTTGGTCATGTGACTATAATACGAGGATAGGGATCTTTATTTTTGGTCATGTGACTATAATACGAGGATAGGGATCTTTATTTTTGGTCATGTGACCATATAATACGAGGATAGGGATCTTTATTTTTGGTCATGTGACCATATAATACGAGGATAAGGATCTTTTATTTTTGGTCATGTGACCATATAATACGAGGATAAGGATCTTTATTTTTGGTCATGTGACCATATAATACGAGGATAGGGATCTTTATTTTTGGTCATGTGACTATATAATATGAGGATAGGGATCTTTATTTTTGGTCATGTGACTATAATACGAGGATAGGGATCTTTATTTTTGGTCATGTGACTATATAATAATGAGGATAGGGATCTTTATTTTTGGTCATGTGACTATATAATAATGAGGATAGGGATCTTTATTTTTGGTCATGTGACTATATAATACGAGGATAGGCATCTTTATTTTTGGTCATGTGACTATAATATTGAAATCTCATTGGACGCTGCGGGAGATAACTCCCTTTTTATAAGATAGGGATCCTTATCCTGGGGTGAATAGCTTGGTGAATGTGGATTCACCTATAGAGGAGCTTCCTGTGCGTTCCTCATTAATGATGCACCGCGCCTGTTCTCGGGTTCCTGGAGAGGAAGATGGCGCACGCGGCCAACCTCGTCACATGACCCATCTGCCTTAAAGTGAACCTGTCATAGAGTTGGAGGGAGTCTCTATTCCTTGTGATCTCCCGCTCCTCCTCAGTGCAAGTCTATCAGTCTGACCTGACTGACCGGAGTCGCTGCATTGGAGAGACGGCAGATGTGTCTGTGTGACCCGGCAACTGAAATACGGTACAGCAAGCGCGTCAAAACGTGAAAGTCGCCTTTCAAAATGCGCGCTCACTAAAAAAGCGCTCTGCCCTCCGTTGCCCGACTATGAAAGCGACATGGCGGCGTTGGCAGCGGCGGCGATTTTTTTTTCTGGAGCTTTCTTTTGATCCGGCGCCAGCTGCGGTGAAAGTGGACCGCGCCGAGATCCGGCAGCAGACAGGCGGAGACTTAATTGCTGGTCTGCCGTATCCATAGCGGCGCGCTCTCCTCTCCCTGCGCGTCCGTACGGCTCCCCAGAGCTCTGCGACGTCATCCAGAAAACCATTAGAGGGAAGGAACATCCTCCATTAGTGGAAGAGATGAACTGACCGGCTGATGTAGTAGAGCGGCCTTCGCACTGTGTATAGAACAGCGATTTGATTATTGATTATTGGGGATGTTATTGGTTTCTTATAGGAAGAATATATCGGGATTTAGATCTTCACTATGTGGCCGATAAAGTCAACGTGTCTCACCCTCAAGGAACGGCAGGCGGCTCGCATACCAAGCGTCATCTCCGCTCCAAACCCGACATCTTCCCGAGGCGCACGGAGAGGCGACTACGTACAACCTATAGATTCCCGGAGATATGCAAATGAGCCGACCGGCAAAGCCACGCCCACAATAGTTTTGTTTTGCTATCAGACTGCAAATCCGTGAGAGGTGCGCCGTGTCTGTGCCCCGCCCCCTCCCGTGGGAGCCGAGTCATGTGGAGGAGGCGTGGCCACCTACAAAATAGATTTTACCTCCATCGTTTTTATGTAATGGGGAAGAAATTCTCAGCGCGAAGGTTTTGGCAAAAAGTATGTAGAACCAATGTGTTGATTTTTAAGGCATTATAGGCACTTCCTGTTGTGTCTCCGGGACAGGAAGCGAGGGGAAATCTTACCGATGGGGATGCAGAGGGGGAAAGGGTTCTCATGGAGGTTTAGCGTCAGATCCACTTTCATGTCGGTTTATATTGTTTGCCTGAAATGTATCCGCCGGTCACTGATCCCTATGTGTGTCTGTTATGTCTCCATAGAGCAAAGAGTGGAAGATGTGAGGCTCATCCGAGAGCAGCACCCCAACAAAATCCCGGTGAGTGAAACCGCTCCGCACGGAACACAACATTACCAGACAAGCTTCCATCAGACAAATGCACCTTCATATCCGAGCTTCTCTAACACCTGCTGAGCTGAAATATCCGAGTATGACCCCGGACTCTATTGTGAGATCCCCACGCTGGGTTCCCGGGTCTGTACACCCGCTGTGCCCATTATGAGGAGCTCCCCCCATCCCTGTGCTGAGTTCCCGGGTCTGTACCCCCGCTGTGCCCATTATGAGGGGCCCCCACCATCCCTGTGCTGAGTTCCCGGGTCTGTACCCCCGCTGTGCCCATTATGAGGGGCCCCCACCATCCCTGTGCTGAGTTCCCGGGTCTGTACCCCCGCTGTGCCCATTATGAGGGGCCCCCACCATCCCTGTGCTGAGTTCCCGGGTCTGTACCCCCGCTGTGCCCATTATGAGGGGCCCCCACCATCCCTGTGCTGAGTTCCCGGGTCTGTACCCCCGCTGTGCCCATTATGAGGGGCCCCCACCATCCCTGTGCTGAGTTCCCGGGTCTGTACCCCCGCTGTGCCCATTATGAGGGGCCCCCACCATCCCTGTGCTGAGTTCCCGGGTCTGTACCCCCGCTGTGCCCATTATGAGGGGCCCCCACCATCCCTGTGCTGAGTTCCCGGGTCTGTACCCCCGCTGTGCCCATTATGAGGGGCCCCCACCATCCCTGTGCTGAGTTCCCGGGTCTGTACCCCCGCTGTGCCCATTATGAGGGGCCCCCACCATCCCTGTGCTGAGTTCCCGGGTCTGTACCCCCGCTGTGCCCATTATGAGGGGCCCCCACCATCCCTGTGCTGAGTTCCCGGGTCTGTACCCCCGCTGTGCCCATTATGAGGGGCCCCCACCATCCCTGTGCTGAGTTCCCGGGTCTGTACCCCCGCTGTGCCCATTATGAGGGGCCCCCACCATCCCTGTGCTGAGTTCCCGGGTCTGTACCCCCGCTGTGCCCATTATGAGGGGCCCCCACCATCCCTGTGCTGAGTTCCCGGGTCTGTACCCCCGCTGTGCCCATTATGAGGGGCCCCCACCATCCCTGTGCTGAGTTCCCGGGTCTGTACCCCCGCTGTGCCCATTATGAGGGGCCCCCACCATCCCTGTGCTGAGTTCCCGGGTCTGTACCCCCGCTGTGCCCATTATGAGGGGCCCCCACCATCCCTGTGCTGAGTTCCCGGGTCTGTACCCCCGCTGTGCCCATTATGAGGGGCCCCCACCATCCCTGTGCTGAGTTCCCGGGTCTGTACCCCCGCTGTGCCCATTATGAGGGGCCCCCACCATCCCTGTGCTGAGTTCCCGGGTCTGTACCCCCGCTGTGCCCATTATGAGGGGCCCCCACCATCCCTGTGCTGAGTTCCCGGGTCTGTACCCCCGCTGTGCCCATTATGAGGGGCCCCCACCATCCCTGTGCTGAGTTCCCGGGTCTGTACCCCCGCTGTGCCCATTATGAGGGGCCCCCACCATCCCTGTGCTGAGTTCCCGGGTCTGTACCCCCGCTGTGCCCATTATGAGGGGCCCCCACCATCCCTGTGCTGAGTTCCCGGGTCTGTACCCCCGCTGTGCCCATTATGAGGGGCCCCCACCATCCCTGTGCTGAGTTCCCGGGTCTGTACCCCCGCTGTGCCCATTATGAGGGGCCCCCACCATCCCTGTGCTGAGTTCCCGGGTCTGTACCCCCGCTGTGCCCATTATGAGGGGCCCCCACCATCCCTGTGCTGAGTTCCCGGGTCTGTACCCCCGCTGTGCCCATTATGAGGGGCCCCCACCATCCCTGTGCTGAGTTCCCGGGTCTGTACCCCCGCTGTGCCCATTATGAGGGGCCCCCACCATCCCTGTGCTGAGTTCCCGGGTCTGTACCCCCGCTGTGCCCATTATGAGGGGCCCCCACCATCCCTGTGCTGAGTTCCCGGGTCTGTACCCCCGCTGTGCCCATTATGAGGGGCCCCCACCATCCCTGTGCTGAGTTCCCGGGTCTGTACCCCCGCTGTGCCCATTATGAGGGGCCCCCACCATCCCTGTGCTGAGTTCCCGGGTCTGTACCCCCGCTGTGCCCATTATGAGGGGCCCCCACCATCCCTGTGCTGAGTTCCCGGGTCTGTACCCCCGCTGTGCCCATTATGAGGGGCCCCCACCATCCCTGTGCTGAGTTCCCGGGTCTGTACCCCCGCTGTGCCCATTATGAGGGGCCCCCACCATCCCTGTGCTGAGTTCCCGGGTCTGTACCCCCGCTGTGCCCATTATGAGGGGCCCCCACCATCCCTGTGCTGAGTTCCCGGGTCTGTACCCCCGCTGTGCCCATTATGAGGGGCCCCCACCATCCCTGTGTTGAGTTCGATTGGAAGATGTGCAGGTTATATTTGCATAGGTAACAACCACATGTGATGCTGAGCCTCCCTGATTGAAACAACTGAAATCCAATGTATGAAAGGGGCGGAGCCATGGACAGTCAGGCTGGGGAGGAGAGCACTAGATGGCGCTGGATGTCCCCCAGCCAGGAAATGGGGCGGGGCTTTGTCTGACTTGCTGCGGCTTCTAATGCACATTGTGAGAAGCTCCCAGTGTGCAGTGATATCAGAGGAGCCGCTACAACTGTGCAAGACTGGAGGGGAGGACGGAGGTCAGATAGAAGACTGGAGGGGAGGCCGGAGGTCAGATAGAAGACTGAAGGGAAGGACGGAGGTCAGATAGAAGACTGGAGGGAAGGACGGAGGTCAGATAGAAGACTGGAGGGGAGGCCGGAGGTCAGATAGAAGACTGAAGGGAAGGACGGAGGTCAGATAGAAGACTGGAGGGGAGGACGGAGGTCAGATAGAAGACTGAAGGGAAGGACGGAGGTCAGATAGAAGACTGAAGGGAAGGACGGAGGTCAGATAGAAGACTGGAGGGGAGGCCGGAGGTCAGATAGAAGACTGAAGGGGAGGACGGAGGTCAGGTAGAAGACTGGAGGGGATGATTCCCAGTCATGTGACGACTGAAGGGAAGGACGGAGGTCAGATAGAAGACTGAAGGGAAGGACGGAGGTCAGATAGAAGACTGAAGGGAAGGACGGAGGTCAGATAGAAGACTGAAGGGAAGGACGGAGGTCAGATAGAAGACTGAAGGGAAGGACGGAGGTCAGATAGAAGACTGAAGGGAAGGACGGAGGTCAGATAGAAGACTGAAGGGAAGGACGGAGGTCAGATAGAAGACTGAAGGGAAGGACGGAGGTCAGATAGAAGACTGAAGGGAAGGACGGAGGTCAGATAGAAGACTGAAGGGAAGGACGGAGGTCAGATAGAAGACTGAAGGGAAGGACGGAGGTCAGATAGAAGACTGAAGGGAAGGACGGAGGTCAGATAGAAGACTGAAGGGAAGGACGGAGGTCAGATAGAAGACTGAAGGGAAGGACGGAGGTCAGATAGAAGACTGAAGGGAAGGACGGAGGTCAGATAGAAGACTGAAGGGAAGGACGGAGGTCAGATAGAAGACTGAAGGGAAGGACGGAGGTCAGATAGAAGACTGAAGGGAAGGACGGAGGTCAGATAGAAGACTGAAGGGAAGGACGGAGGTCAGATAGAAGACTGAAGGGAAGGACGGAGGTCAGATAGAAGACTGAAGGGAAGGACGGAGGTCAGATAGAAGACTGAAGGGAAGGACGGAGGTCAGATAGAAGACTGAAGGGAAGGACGGAGGTCAGATAGAAGACTGAAGGGAAGGACGGAGGTCAGATAGAAGACTGAAGGGAAGGACGGAGGTCAGATATAAGACTGAAGGGAAGGACGGAGGTCAGATAGAAGACTGAAGGGAAGGACGGAGGTCAGATAGAAGACTGAAGGGAAGGACGGAGGTCAGATAGAAGACTGAAGGGAAGGACGGAGGTCAGATAGAAGACTGAAGGGAAGGACGGAGGTCAGATAGAAGACTGAAGGGAAGGACGGAGGTCAGATAGAAGACTGAAGGGAAGGACGGAGGTCAGATAGAAGACTGAAGGGAAGGACGGAGGTCAGATAGAAGACTGAAGGGAAGGACGGAGGTCAGATAGAAGACTGAAGGGAAGGACGGAGGTCAGATAGAAGACTGAAGGGAAGGACGGAGGTCAGATAGAAGACTGAAGGGAAGGACGGAGGTCAGATAGAAGACTGAAGGGAAGGACGGAGGTCAGATAGAAGACTGAAGGGAAGGACGGAGGTCAGATAGAAGACTGAAGGGAAGGACGGAGGTCAGATAGAAGACTGAAGGGAAGGACGGAGGTCAGATAGAAGACTGAAGGGAAGGACGGAGGTCAGATAGAAGACTGAAGGGAAGGACGGAGGTCAGATAGAAGACTGAAGGGAAGGACGGAGGTCAGATAGAAGACTGAAGGGAAGGACGGAGGTCAGATAGAAGACTGAAGGGAAGGACGGAGGTCAGATAGAAGACTGAAGGGAAGGACGGAGGTCAGATAGAAGACTGAAGGGAAGGACGGAGGTCAGATAGAAGACTGAAGGGAAGGACGGAGGTCAGATAGAAGACTGAAGGGAAGGACGGAGGTCAGATAGAAGACTGAAGGGAAGGACGGAGGTCAGATAGAAGACTGAAGGGAAGGACGGAGGTCAGATAGAAGACTGAAGGGAAGGACGGAGGTCAGATAGAAGACTGAAGGGAAGGACGGAGGTCAGATAGAAGACTGAAGGGAAGGACAGAGGTCAGATAGAAGACTGAAGGGAAGGACGGAGGTCAGATAGAAGACTGAAGGGAAGGACGGAGGTCAGATAGAAGACTGAAGGGAAGGACGGAGGTCAGATAGAAGACTGAAGGGAAGGACGGAGGTCAGATAGAAGACTGAAGGGAAGGACGGAGGTCAGATAGAAGACTGAAGGGAAGGACGGAGGTCAGATAGAAGACTGAAGGGAAGGACGGAGGTCAGATAGAAGACTGAAGGGAAGGACGGAGGTCAGATAGAAGACTGAAGGGAAGGACGGAGGTCAGATAGAAGACTGAAGGGAAGGACGGAGGTCAGATAGAAGACTGAAGGGAAGGACGGAGGTCAGATAGAAGACTGAAGGGAAGGACGGAGGTCAGATAGAAGACTGAAGGGAAGGACGGAGGTCAGATAGAAGACTGAAGGGAAGGACGGAGGTCAGATAGAAGACTGAAGGGAAGGACGGAGGTCAGATAGAAGACTGAAGGGAAGGACGGAGGTCAGATAGAAGACTGAAGGGAAGGACGGAGGTCAGATAGAAGACTGAAGGGAAGGACGGAGGTCAGATAGAAGACTGAAGGGAAGGACGGAGGTCAGATAGAAGACTGAAGGGAAGGACGGAGGTCAGATAGAAGACTGAAGGGAAGGACGGAGGTCAGATAGAAGACTGAAGGGAAGGACGGAGGTCAGATAGAAGACTGAAGGGAAGGACGGAGGTCAGATAGAAGACTGAAGGGAAGGACGGAGGTCAGATAGAAGACTGAAGGGAAGGACGGAGGTCAGATAGAAGACTGAAGGGAAGGACGGAGGTCAGATAGAAGACTGAAGGGAAGGACGGAGGTCAGATAGAAGACTGAAGGGAAGGACGGAGGTCAGATAGAAGACTGAAGGGAAGGACGGAGGTCAGATAGAAGACTGAAGGGAAGGACGGAGGTCAGATAGAAGACTGAAGGGAAGGACGGAGGTCAGATAGAAGACTGAAGGGAAGGACGGAGGTCAGATAGAAGACTGAAGGGAAGGACGGAGGTCAGATAGAAGACTGAAGGGAAGGACGGAGGTCAGATAGAAGACTGAAGGGAAGGACGGAGGTCAGATAGAAGACTGAAGGGAAGGCCGGAGGTCAGATAGAAGACTGAAGGGAAGGACGGAGGTCAGATAGAAGACTGAAGGGAAGGACGGAGGTCAGATAGAAGACTGAAGGGAAGGACGGAGGTCAGATAGAAGACTGAAGGGAAGGACGGAGGTCAGATAGAAGACTGAAGGGAAGGACGGAGGTCAGATAGAAGACTGAAGGGAAGGACGGAGGTCAGATAGAAGACTGAAGGGAAGGACGGAGGTCAGATAGAAGACTGGAGGGGAGGCCGGAGGTCAGATAGAAGACTGAAGGGGAGGACGGAGGTCAGGTAGAAGACTGGAGGGGATGATTCCCAGTCATGTGACTACACAGGATGATCACAGCGACTGGCAAGGAAAGATCTTCGGCTGAAGCGTTCCCCGGGGGGATGGGACATTTGGGGAAGTTCGTCTTTCATCAACAATTCAGAAATTTCCAACATTTTCACATGTCAGGCGTCGGGTGTACGCACAGCATTGTGTTACCCAATTCATTCCTTGTGATAGCAATAAGACGGAAGAGGAACTCCCTTCAGTCTTCTATCTGACCTCCGTCCTCCCCTTCAGTCTTCTATCTGACCTCCGTCCTCCCCTTCAGTCTTCTATCTGACCTCCGTCCTCCCCTTCAGTCTTCTATCTGACCTCCGTCCTCCCCTTCAGTCTTCTATCTGACCTCCGTCCTCCCCTTCAGTCTTCTATCTGACCTCCGTCCTCCCCTTCAGTCTTCTATCTGACCTCCGTCCTCCCCTTCAGTCTTCTATCTGACCTCCGTCCTCCCCTTCAGTCTTCTATCTGACCTCCGTCCTCCCCTTCAGTCTTCTATCTGACCTCCGTCCTCCCCTTCAGTCTTCTATCTGACCTCCGTCCTCCCCTTCAGTCTTCTATCTGACCTCCGTCCTCCCCTTCAGTCTTCTATCTGACCTCCGTCCTCCCCTTCAGTCTTCTATCTGACCTCCGTCCTCCCCTTCAGTCTTCTATCTGACCTCCGTCCTCCCCTTCAGTCTTCTATCTGACCTCCGTCCTCCCCTTCAGTCTTCTATCTGACCTCCGTCCTCCCCTTCAGTCTTCTATCTGACCTCCGTCCTCCCCTTCAGTCTTCTATCTGACCTCCGTCCTCCCCTTCAGTCTTCTATCTGACCTCCGTCCTCCCCTTCAGTCTTCTATCTGACCTCCGTCCTCCCCTTCAGTCTTCTATCTGACCTCCGTCCTCCCCTTCAGTCTTCTATCTGACCTCCGTCCTCCCCTTCAGTCTTCTATCTGACCTCCGTCCTCCCCTTCAGTCTTCTATCTGACCTCCGTCCTCCCCTTCAGTCTTCTATCTGACCTCCGTCCTCCCCTTCAGTCTTCTATCTGACCTCCGTCCTCCCCTTCAGTCTTCTATCTGACCTCCGTCCTCCCCTTCAGTCTTCTATCTGACCTCCGTCCTCCCCTTCAGTCTTCTATCTGACCTCCGTCCTCCCCTTCAGTCTTCTATCTGACCTCCGTCCTCCCCTTCAGTCTTCTATCTGACCTCCGTCCTCCCCTTCAGTCTTCTATCTGACCTCCGTCCTCCCCTTCAGTCTTCTATCTGACCTCCGTCCTCCCCTTCAGTCTTCTATCTGACCTCCGTCCTCCCCTTCAGTCTTCTATCTGACCTCCGTCCTCCCCTTCAGTCTTCTATCTGACCTCCGTCCTCCCCTTCAGTCTTCTATCTGACCTCCGTCCTCCCCTTCAGTCTTCTATCTGACCTCCGTCCTCCCCTTCAGTCTTCTATCTGACCTCCGTCCTCCCCTTCAGTCTTCTATCTGACCTCCGTCCTCCCCTTCAGTCTTCTATCTGACCTCCGTCCTCCCCTTCAGTCTTCTATCTGACCTCCGTCCTCCCCTTCAGTCTTCTATCTGACCTCCGTCCTCCCCTTCAGTCTTCTATCTGACCTCCGTCCTCCCCTTCAGTCTTCTATCTGACCTCCGTCCTCCCCTTCAGTCTTCTATCTGACCTCCGTCCTCCCCTTCAGTCTTCTATCTGACCTCCGTCCTCCCCTTCAGTCTTCTATCTGACCTCCGTCCTCCCCTTCAGTCTTCTATCTGACCTCCGTCCTCCCCTTCAGTCTTCTATCTGACCTCCGTCCTCCCCTTCAGTCTTCTATCTGACCTCCGTCCTCCCCTTCAGTCTTCTATCTGACCTCCGTCCTCCCCTTCAGTCTTCTATCTGACCTCCGTCCTCCCCTTCAGTCTTCTATCTGACCTCCGTCCTCCCCTTCAGTCTTCTATCTGACCTCCGTCCTCCCCTTCAGTCTTCTATCTGACCTCCGTCCTCCCCTTCAGTCTTCTATCTGACCTCCGTCCTCCCCTTCAGTCTTCTATCTGACCTCCGTCCTCCCCTTCAGTCTTCTATCTGACCTCCGTCCTCCCCTTCAGTCTTCTATCTGACCTCCGTCCTCCCCTTCAGTCTTCTATCTGACCTCCGTCCTTCCCTTCAGTCTTGTATCTGACCTCCGTCCTCCCCTCCAGTCTTGCACAGTTGTAGCGGCTCCTCTGATGTCACTGCACACAGGGATCTCCTCACAATGTGCATTAGAAGCTGCAGCCAGTCAGATAGAGGCCGGCCTCATGGAGGACGTGGGATGGAGGCTGTAGATGTGAGCAGCGTGTTGGTGGATATGTAACCTCCTCTCTTCTCTGTCCGCTTTATTTCAGGTCATCATCGAGAGGTACAAGGGGGAAAAGCAGCTCCCAGTTTTGGATAAAACCAAATTCCTCGTTCCTGATCACGTCAATATGAGCGAGCTCATCAAAATCATCCGGTGAGAATGGAGGAGGGGCTTCCTAGAATGAGAGTCTTCACTGTGTGCGGAGTCAGCGGCGTCACAAGGGGGGTGCGGCGGTCATTTTGGTGTCACCCCCTATGAAGAGTCGGGCACTTGGTCACGGACCGAGAGCCCGACAGTGTCAGGAGAGAGGAGGGGCCCCGGCCGCATACCTCATCCCGCCGGGTGAACGTCCCCTCCTCTCTCTGCCGACGTCCATCACCAAGATGGCCACCGACAGGCGTCAAAAAGAACACCGAGCCCGCGACTGGACGCCTCCCGAGTGCCCCCGCGCCGGCTCCCGAGGGTCCCCGCGCCGGCTCCCGAGGGTCCCACGTAGCCTCTAGTATTGGTGCATCCCTACATTTTACGGTTGGGGGTCACCACAACGTGGCAAATGTTACCAAGGGGTCCCGGCCCCGGAAAGGTTGGCCTAAGCCCTGGGCCCGTTGCGGTCAGTCGCAGCGCGTCTATTGGGAGATCTGGGCGATGAAACAAAATGGCTCCTCTGAGTCTTGTGAGAAGACGTCCTGGAATCGCACGGCGGCCATCGCTGACCCTCTTAGTAAAGGGGAATAGAAAGTCCTTCTGGAGAAATTGCTGCTCCGCTCTCCCCCGTCAGTGCTGCTCACATAAGCCGAGCCGCGGGCAATGCTCAGCGCGTTTCGGTAATAGCGAGGGCGCCGTTTGTCAAATTTTTTCCTTTTTTGTCTTCTTTGCACCGCAGGCGACGCCTACAACTGAACGCCAACCAAGCGTTCTTCCTCCTGGTGAACGGTCACAGCATGGTGAGCGTGTGCACGCCGATCTCCGAGGTGTACGAGCGCGAGAAGGACGAAGACGGCTTCCTCTACATGGTCTACGCTTCACAGGAGACGTTCGGCATGAAAGACGCGTGAATCGGCGCCGCGGCTGACATTTTGGTTTTAATTTGATTTTTTTTTTTTTTTTTTACATGTTTTTTTTTTTTTTTTTCTTTATTTTG